TTCAGTTTGGAGAGTAGCAGAGTTTGTAATGTTTTATTTTTATCATGGTTTATTGTCCTCCCTGGGATTTATTCTGTAGATGATCAAACAAACCATGGCTTGTTTTCTTACTCCCTGGGTTGGTTTGTTTATTAAATGTATAGCCTGCCTCTATAGCCCTATTAGTGTTTTCTGGCCACTGTACATTTCATTAAAGTTGTTCCCCTCTGTCTTTGACTGCTCCTTCCCTCTATGACCCCAACTGTCTTTGTGGCACTGCAGTACTGTTTTGTTTTTCTGCTTTTGCTCCCTGCCTGTGGGGCCTGCTGAAACCACCTATAAACAGCCTACAATTCTGCATTTGCACATAGCAACAATCCACGATTTAACCCACAGTGCAGAACTCTACAGCAAACCATGGGTTCTATTTGTGGATTGCTCATTTTTAAAAACCATTCGCAGTTCGTTCATAATGGCAACACATCATTCAGCAAACTATGGTTAATTAAACCATAGTTTCTTCCTATTTGTAAACCAGCTCGAGGCTGGTCCATAGCAAAAATAACCACCACACAATACAGATTCCCACCCCCGCAAAAAAAAAAAACCTTTATAAAGATGCTCCCAGGAAAGATGTTCCTGAAGAAGTCATGTGCTTGAATAAATTTGGGGTAATTGAACATTATCAAGGCATTAAGCTGTACATTTATGTATATTCCTGTGTTTACATGTATTTCTTTTGTCACATGTAGTCTTGTATCTGCATTGTCATGTGCCACACATGGCCACGATTTTTTGCTATTACTTACTTTATAATTGCTCGTGGAAGAGTTTTGGTACTTCAGACCACAATCCAGTGAAAACATCTCCTATGGAAACCCCATTGAAAAGAATAGAAGCTGTGCAGATATTTTTCTGCTGTTTGTGTCACAGGGCATGTGTAAGAAAGTCCCGGTGAATTTTGCCCTTGCTCTCATTTAGGGACGTGAAGGGCTGCCTTCGACTGAATCAGGGCACTCGTCCATGTTCCTTCTTCTCCAGCACCGTAGGCAAGTGTCTTCCTCGGCCCCACGTGGGAGAGATGGTGCCTGAACCTGAGGCAGCCTGCAGGCAAAGGTACCCCTCCACCTGTGGCCCTTCCTCAAAGGCCAGGCTTGTTCGGCTTCCTTTCCCTTTCTCTGGGTGAAAATGAGAAAGGGGATTAATTACAAACATACTTTTGATGGTCTACAGAACAACCTCCTCAGATGTCTGCAGCCTGGCTGAGGCCAAACCTGTCGTCTGGAGACAGGTTATGACAGCTTTCTCTGAAGCCTTTAAAGACTTGCTGGGCCACCCAACCCTAACCCTAACCCTAACCGGTTTTTATTTAAATAAAAAATTTCAACCTAAAAAAAAAAATTCAACCTAACCCTAACCCACCCGGAGGCTTGTAGGGGATTACCCATCCCAGGTGTTTTGCAGTCATTGTTTGCTATTAGCTGTTTAAAACTTTAATTTTTTTCCAGATTTTATGATGTTTTAATTGCATTTTTAAACTTTCTGTTTATATGGATTGTTGCATACTGGCCAGAGTGCTTTAGCTACAGAATAATAAAATAGTATGGTTAGAAGGAGGCAAGGTGGCCCTTGGATCCAACCCCCCTGCTGTTGAAGGTCACCATGTTACCCCATCACACTCAGAGATGGCTGTCCAGTTTCACCTTGAATGTTCCTTGATATCTAGCCTGAATCTGGGTTGTCTCAACTTAAGTTGACTATTCCATGTCCTACTCTCCGGTGCCAACAAGAAGAGATTTTGACCTTCCTCTTTGCGACAACCTTTGAGGTATTTATAGAGGGATACCACGTCCCCCATCAGTCTTCTCTTCTCAAGGCTGAACATGCCCAGTTCTCTCAGTCTCTCCTCTTAGGGCAGTGTTTCCAAGCCCTGGATCATTTTTGTTGCCCTCCTCTGGTCTCTTTCTAATAGGGAACAGAGGACAGTATAGAAATGGAATAACTATAACAATAATAATAAGTAACTACTCATTTAATGAGTTAGCATTCTGCAAACAATGATTGTATTTGTCCTGAACTAAGAAGGGGTAACATTAAAGAAGTGTAAGGGCAACGATACAACAGAGCTTAATAGGTCATGATTATTCAGCCGTCACCTTTAGTCTTGGTGTTTTCTTTTCCATTTCCCCGTTGGAGTCCTATGCAGGCATTCCCCTTAATGCAATTTGGCGAGGGGGGAGCGCAGGGTTGCATCTGCTGAGTCGATTCCCTCTGTCATCTTCCCATTACTCAACTCCACTGCTTTCCATGCACTGTAGAGGGAAGGCCTGGAGTGGAGAGCCGGCTCCACACAACTCGCCTTCCCATGCAGGGCAGGGTCCTGATTCCCAAATTTCACCCCTCTAAAGCAACCTCCATGCGTGACATTCCCTCCTCAGTTCATGCAGGATAACAAGGAAAGCAAGATGGTGGATAAGGCTATCAAAGGCTCATAGTCCTGGTGGCTATTGCCTCCAGTATCAGAGGCTGGTATTCACCAGTCAATGGCAAGTCCAAGCGGCACTTTTGGTAGGAAGAAGGATGGCTTAGATATGAACAGAATGCCGGTCTGGAAGGACTTGGTCTGATCCTGTATGGCTCTTTTTATGTCCCGGAACATGGCCTTGCTCATCGCCTAAGTGTACCTGAAGAGGGCCAAGAACTTCCATTTAGAGCATCCAATACTATTCCCAGTTTGCTTTAATAACCAGTCTGGACTGTTTCTTTAAATCCAAGCGATGACTGTTCAGTGAAGACCTCAGCATTTCTGGATATGTTAAAAGCAAGGTAAAACAGCTTACAAACAATGATTCATATAACTGCAGATATTTAACAACTAATTAGTATAGTAACAGAAAGAGTAAATTTCCCATGATGTGGGAAAAAGTTTGGAAACAGATCTCTCTGCCCACATGGTTGTCATCACTGGAAATGTTGTTGCTAATACATCACCATTGGAATTCCTGTTCCTCCTTTGCTTTCTGGTGGGCTTGCCATTTATCGTTACCGGGTTTCTTTGAAGTGTAATTCTGGAACTCCCACCTTCCTGTTGTCCTCTGTGAGATGTGCTAACGTGCCGTGTGGTGCTTCAAAACATACAACGGAATAGCGTGGTTGTCATCCCATACACACGTATTTAGGAGTAAGCCCCACTGAACTCAGGGGGCCTTTCTTCTGAATCAACATGCAGAACTCCGGAGAGCATGAAATCAATCCCACGTCTACTTCTGCTAGTAATCTGAGACCACATGGCCCCTTGCTGTAGTGATCAGGCCGTGCAAATAACTCACAAGCAGCGGTACTACTTTTCAGGTAGCAAAGAAAACCTGTATTTGGTTCAGGAGACCCATGGAAAGCAATTTTCCAGAAAGGAGGAGGTTGTGGAGCCACTGATGAACCCTTGTGCCCCATTCTTGCATGGGTGAAACATCCCCCAATGCCAGCCCATTCTTCCTTGTTGATCACCAAGAAATTGATTTCTCCTTGTTTTAGAGTCAAGCAAAGCAGATATACCTAGTTCTGGTGTTGTTTTATAAAGAAACTCAGTTTCTCTAGCATAGCATGGGGCCATTAACAGCCTTTTATAAAACAACAAAGGCATGATAGACACATTCAGTTCCATGAGATGGCCTCCAGAACTAGTCAACTTCAGTTAGAAATTCCCTATTTAAGTTAGATATTCCACTGATTTCAGTAGGTTTACTCTAAGTATGACTAAGCCCAGAACTAATCTCTTGCGTTTCAGTTGGAGCGTTCCATATATGATTCAATCACGTCTGTTAAAATTTAAGGGATTTCCATAGTGTTTATCACTGATAGGATCTTACCCACCATTCTAACAACATGTCACTACTTGGAGTGAAGGCACTTGCTTATTTCCATTCTTTTGGGCTCTCCCAAATAAAAAGAATTTAATCTAACACTACCAGTGGATTTCCCCCCAACTGTTTTGATAAAACATTTAAGCTATTGCCTGGAATGTCAGCCCAACACTGTACTCATATTAAAAAAAAATTAAGTGGTCAGTTTTGTATTCCTTAAAGAACAGTTGTAAGCCATCTGTGTGCGCGCGCGCGCGCGCGCGCTCTCTCTCTCTCTCTCTCTCTCTCTCTCTCTCTCTCTCTCTCTCTCTCACTCACTCACACAATCTGAGGAGGGGTTTACAGCTAAACTGTGATCCCAACCAAACCATTAAGTACTGAAATGAAACATTTCCTCCCACAATTAGAATGAAGGTAAAATGACATGGGTACATTCCAGGCTATATTATAATATTAAATTATATTAAGATTGGCTCCTTTTAAAATAGTTATCACATTTGTCAAGGCCTGCTGAATATAAGTGGAACAGAAAAATGCAACATTTTTATGAATTTGTTTCTTAAATAGGTATGTTACAGTGATCTGAGGAGGGAGGAAGGTGAAGTAAAATAATTGGAGGATGGAAGAAGCTAGCTTTTAATCTACTCCATTGCTCCCTTCAAGGAGCAAAGTTTAAGTATTGATCAAAAACTGATTTGTGCTTGGTATGTAGATGGGCAAGCAGAGATTTCTTGTTTCTAATGGGATTTGTGCAAGAAAGCACCACTCATGACCATCATGTTTACATAATAACATTTCAGTATTTGTTTTTAAACTTAGTTGTCATATTTTACTGCTATTTACTGCATTAATCTATTTTGCATAGCAAAAGCCATGATATGGGTTTGGGAATACCAAAATGGAAATCAGAGTTTTTGAGTGAAGCAGAGTTTTTACAAAAAAAGTAAAAATACAAATGAAAATTTGCTCCGGTGTTCTATTTTGTACATCATGCATGTATTGACAAAGGAGTGTGTATTTATTTCAACAAATTGTGTTCTAGGCATGAACCTCTGGTGTTATGGGAGTTGTCCATTTTCATACCAGTATTTTATAAAAATATTATGATCCCACTTTATATTCTTTGAAAATACATCCAGGTATTAGTATAGATTACTCGTATAATTTTATAAACATATAGCTTTATTAAAATCTATTAAATTAATACTGTTTTGGTTCATTTGTATTAAAACTCACAGGACATGAAATCGGTAAAATAGCCATGCTATTAAACAAAAGACTTTAAAAAAAGTATGCTCTATTTCCATAAATACTTGACTATATGTATTTCAGCAATTATTTACCACAAATGTATGTTTTAAAAGGAATGAGACAAAAAATTTAATAAAATAATGAGAGAAATGAATGTTAAACCCTGAGAAACCTTTGCTGTTGTTCTGCATAAAGGACTATTATGATAAATAAACACATTTCAGTGTTTTACTTCTTGGAAATAGAAAACTATGAAGATGGATCCATATGAACCATTTTAAATAACATCCTTTTAAAGGTTGCACATATATCACCAATGTCTTCCTTTTAAATATTCAGTTTTGAGTCTACCACACCAAAGGTTTCTACATAGTTTACAAAACAAAAAGCAAAAGAAACAAAAAGTAGCTTTAAATATGCTATTTTACAAGAAAATACAAGATCATTTGTTTTTCTACATATCTCAATTCAAATATAAAAATTCATTACATGTGGAATATGAATTTATTTCAGATTTTATATGGGATGGTTCAGTGTCTTGACACAATTCTGTAGTACCATTTCTCCATGTAAATTCAGAATAGCAAAAACATGAAAATAACCACGATTTGGTTTTCAACATGTGCACAAATATAAGGATTTACAGACGCTTAGCCAAAGCTGTAGCTTGTATGCTAAATATCTGCTTGTGAATAACTGTGTACTTTATGTATTTTGTGTATAAAATGGAGCATGTCACATAGATAACCCCATCCAAAATGTCTGCAGTTCTGGTCTCAAAGCTAGCATTGTGCTCCTTCTAGAGTTCACAGAAAGGGCTTGTGGCAGAGATTTCTGTTGTATTTGCATCGCTAACACCACACATTAGCATCTGACGAATTTGAATAAAACTGCAAGTGTAAATCCCCGGAGTTATCCTGTGACATACCTTCTTGGAACTCATGTGATGACATGGGAAGGTGGAGAAGACTGCAACCTGAGTCAAAGAATGCTTCAGCTCTGGGAAGAAGCCTTACAGATACAAGAGCAATGCCTTGTAGCAGAACCTTAGGCAGAGGATTTTATTCCTTTGAGCACGCAGGGCGAGTTGGCAGTGCCACTGGTGATGTGAACAGTCCCAAGCCAAGAACAGACGTAGGCAAGAGGCGACATTGTGGTGGAAGACTCTTTCGGGAAGATCCGCAAATCTGGCCATGGACCAAGGGAATTATTTTACATCACTTGAGATTTCAATGCAAGGCAACAAAGGGGATAATGAGTCCAGCCCGCATCCCTTCGCTCTTTCCCGCCTTGCATGCCCACCAAACATGAAATGTTTGCCTTTTCCCCTCAAACGTGATGGTTGCTGAACTTATTTTTAGTGTCATTTGATAAGCTTCCCTGCTCGCAGAGAGACATCCCACTGACCCAGCCACTGGTCATTGTCTATACCGGTTCCCATCAAAGTAGGCGCACTTTGTCAGGTTTCGACTCGAATATCCATTTTGCATCTGAAGTACAGTATCGAAAGTGACTGGATCATTTGAGCCTTTTTCTTCAGCTGCTGCCTCTTTCCTCCCCCACAGTGTTTCCACTCACGCTAACATAATTTGGCATCGCCGACGTGACACAACACTGGTTTTTCTAAAAAAAATTATAATACATACTTTGTCAATGTCTTCCGATGGCCGACACGCGTATACATTTAATAGATATACTGTGGAAAGGAAGGTCTCGCGCCTCTTCTCTTTCTTTTTTTGGCCCCGGTGTGGAATCCTCGCCATAACATGGTACCCCCCTCAAAAACCAAGTAATGCGCATACAGTAATAGGTCATTCAATGTCAAAAGGCATAAAAAAGATGAGCAAAACCTTCACAGGCTGCTGCTTGCTGTTGCCTTTAATTATATTAATTAAACTTTGAAATTCTCATGCAAAGAGAGTTGCTGGCTTGTGACGCTGAAGAGCCCTTGGAGATCTGGGGAGGAGGGGAGACGGACCCTGAGATACCAGCATTGTGGCGAGGGCTTTTTTCCAATCTTATAAACATAATTGTAATCATAGTAATACTACACCTAGAATCACTAGGTATGTTTACAAAGGATAATGTTTTTCTGTGCTACTGAGCACCAAGTGCAGAGAAGGGGGAGGAAGAACGCCAGCCAGTGCCAAGGCCTTGCAGCACAGGTCCCTCAATCTCCACGCAAGATCTCTGGTTACAGGCTGTCTTCCCGCAGAATAACGCTCTATTAATTTTTTCTTCCTGTCCTGCGTGCATAATGAAAGAAAGGTGTCTCCTGAAACTAAAGGGCAAAGTCTTGCTTGCCACCAATACCTTGGGGCACCATGTCTACGGTTTGTCATGCATGCGCACTGCTCAGTGTTAAAGTGACAAGATTTTCCGTCAGAAGGTTCCCGTAAGGCACGATCCGAGGGGGGGAGGAGAGGATGGGACTCAGACAGAGCTGGTGATACGACATCGCTGTAAGGCCATCAACTCTTACATTTTTCCAGGCCTGGTGGGAGTTTCACTCTCCCGCCTGTGGCAAATACTTTCCTATTTAAATAGGAAGTGCTGCCTTCGCATCCAAGCGACAATGCCGCTCCTGACAGAGGCACATAAAGGCTTGGTAGGTGCAGTTCAACAGCAATAACAAGACCAAGTGGCAGCGCCTTTGGTGCTTCGCCCGCGATTCCTGCAGAGCCTTTTCAGAGGAAGGCTGGGCGTGCAAAGCCAGAGTTCTCCGTACTTTACGAAGGAGAAGCGTAAAAGAAAATGGCGGACGATGGAGCTTAGTGCAGCAGCAGGCGACTTGTGGTGGAACCAAACGGAGCGAAGGTTCATGCAGAGAGGCTGCAGCGGCTCTGAGGATTCTCACGGAAGCGCTCCATTGTCTTCCCTTTGTGATGGCTTTTCGTCCTTCCCTCACTGAGACTGAACGCGGGTGAAGTTTATACATCGACCCTGAAAGGACAGAAGAGAATGCAAGGGTTACTGTGCATGACTGTAATCATTATAAAATATATATAATATAGATCAGAAGATTTCAGATGAATATCAGGAAAAACTTCCTAATGATCACATCAGACTAGCAATGGAACTGATTGCCTATAGAGTTGGTGGACTCTCTGTTGTTGGAGATATTTAAGAAAAGTCTGGTCAGCCGTCTGTCAGGGATGCTTTAAACTGGATTCCTGCACTGGACAGGGAATGGGCTTTGATGGCCTAAATGGGCCTTTCTAATTCTATGAGTCGATGGCCTACCTGCCTCTAATAGTGTTTTATATCGGTCATACAGCACATCTCTGTATGTTTGATTCCCACAGCCAAGAACTTGAGTGTTTTGACGGACATCCCCTTTCCATTTTCACATGTCAACCAAGGAGAGATCACATTAAGCTGAAACGAGCTAAGTTTTTTTCAAATTAGCAAATCACACGTATAATGACTATTCAAGTATCAATACACATGTGCATGGTTCATATTTACTGAAACTCAAACAACCTCATTCAATCTGAAGTTTGATTCTGAATAGCACGTGAAGTGAGCAAAGCAGACAAAGTCCCTCTGAGTTGCTGATGTGACAATGCGTGTTTGTAATTTGGCCGACATTTACATGTGAATGTTGACAATCTCAGAATTCTGACAAGGATCGAGAGCCCAGAGACTCCACGGTGAATGCTGACACTCATCTAAAGGTGACTGTCGGCATCCATTTGCGCATGTCGTCAAGAAGCATGGGGCGGCATGCATCTATCCTCTATTTTCAAGCATTTGTAAAATCGATTGGAGATTTGGTAGTATTCGCAGCCCGTTGTACACAGGTGCCGTTCTTAATAATAATACCAAACTGCCAAAGGTTGGCATTGATGGAGTGTGTTCAGGGATTCCCAGTGGTTTGCATACCTAACCGGCTGCTTAACAGCAAGATGTGGTTTGCCACAGCAAGGGTGGCTGCAGGGTGGGTACAGCTGGCCCCTGCCACTGGTTCACCCTGTGGCCCCAGCAGTGGTGGGAGTGATGAGGTGGCACAGATGCTTCTCCCAGAGGCAAAGGGAGGATGCTCAGAACTGCTCCTGCTCAGGACAGTTTGCCCCGTGTTGCCCTCATAGTCCACAATTCAAGGGCAAGCTGCAGTGTCTGACAACCTGGAGGGTAAGTGTCTCATCTCCTTCTCTTGTACATGGAGGGAGAAAAAGAAAGGGCTCAAGCCACCCTTATGCAGACTCAGTAGGTCTGCTGAGTGCAACTCAGTCCTCTGTAAGCCGTCCAGAGACTTTCAGTAATGGGACAACACAGAAAAACTTTGAATAAAATAAAGAAATAAAACCATGGGAGGCCTTTATGAGCAAATGCACCAACAAACAGGAGCTGCCATTTGCCACTGGTCTACGAATTCCAAAATACCAAGGAGCTTTGTGGAAAAGAAAAGTGAAGAACTTATTTTTATCCAGAGGGTGGGGAAGATGCAAGGAACTGTACATGAACAACATGATTCTCAAGAATCTATTAGGAGGCAGTAATAATCCTGACAGAGCTGCCCTAGTCATGCTAAAGAAATGTAACCCTATAGCGTAAACCTCTTTTTAAAAACACTTCTTGCATTTCATTGGCAATATAAAGTTGAGGGTTTGCTTTGAATCCCTGTGAGCTTAGGCTGCTTCCATACACAGCTGTCAAGCCACAGAGCCATAATACTCCACCGCTGTCTGTTTTGGATGGCAGAGGTTCTGAGCTCTCTTGCAAACTGCACCCTTTAACACTGCAAAGTGTATCCATTTTTTCCTGATGGCCAAACAAGAGGGATCAGTTACTTAGTGTTCCACTGGAGAGACACAAGAGGGCCAGAAATATAAAATAAACCTCTATCGGGAAGGACAAAGTTGCAAAGATAAGACTGGAAACAAATGTTTTGACTCCAAATGCCCTAAAGGGTGATGTGGGTCAAAGTAACCATGTACGAAAAGTAACTGAATGTTTTCTTCTTCTTATGTTTTCCCTTTTTGATAGATGTATCCTCTTTTATTGAGTATTGTTTCCTGCTATAATGTTTTTTGTTGCTAAAAAGCTCATTGTATAAATCAGCCACGCGTGATGATTATAGCAGCTCACTCGATATTACTATAGAGGCTTTTTGCGAATGGCACAGCACAAAAATGTTCTAAATAAATAAATAAATACTAGCATGCACCTACAATAAAGAGTATTTTTAATTCAAAATGACTTGGTGTCGCCTGCCTCTCATGCTCTGACAATGGTCAAGGGGGACTTCTTGTGGTCCTCAACAAATTCGGCAACCCAGATGGGACCCGTCTGAGTCCCTGCCCACCACTTTGACTCTGCAGAGTGCATCCTTCATTTGAGGAAGCCTTGCCTGAAGCCAGGACCATGTGGCGGTGATAAGGCCTTGTCCATGGAACCAGCGCTTGCCTAAGAATGAATCCAGCTACATCACCTACCCTTTGAGTACGCTGATGAAATGCCTCCGTGTTCGTCTGTTCTCTGTATCTGCATGTGCTATGCGGTTTCCATGCATGCACCGCACTGGACTTCCGAGCCAGACAAGCCATCTCTAGGGGGCTCCACCTGGCAGCAGAGGTCCGTGGGACACTGGCCTCAAGCTGCAAAGCTGGCAGGTAAAAGTGCCCCCAACACCCTGAGTCTGGTTCCCAGATTCAACAAGCACCTCGTGCTGTGAGATGGCTGGTGGGCTCTGGGATCGGCTGGTGGATGACTGTACATGAAGCGGCTGTCAGGCGCATTGTTCAGGGACTAGAAGGAGATTGTCCAGAACAACACCTTAATCTTGAGGCTGGTTGTCTGCGCTTTGGGTGGAAAAGGGAACAGGAGTAAAAGTACAAGTCCTGTACTTGTCCCAGGTGTGAGTCTTGTTTGTGGCAGATTTGAGTCTTGCCTGCACCATCCTGGCAAGATGCTCATGCTTGGGTGAGAGTCCTGGGCAATGTCTGGGTTACAGTCCCAGGACATAAGCTGATTCCTTGGGGGTGGGAGGGGAGGGGAACAGAAGCAGGTTCCCTTTTCCAAAGCAGAGAGGGGAAAAAAGAAAGAAGAGAAAAACAGGGGCAGTAAGAACAATTCCTGGCTGGGTAATTTACTCAGCTGAGATAAAATTATGGTGCATGGTATGATTGTTTTCTCTGTCCTGTTCTTCCTGCACAGGTCCAAGTTGCTTTCTGAACATGCATCAGATCACCTCCTTTGGAGTCTTTCCAACCATTTTTTAATTCTGCAGGACTTGGACCTTTCCCAAACCTGCTGATACCTCCCTCGTGCACATTTTCTTATGGTACCACTTTGGCAACATGAACATAAACATTCTCTTCAAAAGTCTGGAAATAATGGGTCAGTTATTAAATTCCAATATTTCATATAAAAAGACATTTCTTGCACTTTTCAGGGCCATTTCTCTAGTGAAACGCCATCTATGTTTTTATCAGTTTTTTCCTTTTGTCCCTCCTGCCCACTGCTCTTTTCTACTAGATTTTTTATTAACTACTGTGATCTTTTTATTCTATACATTTAGAAATGGTACTTTTGTTTTATTATGTGCCTTATGTTTAGTTGCTCTGGAGTCATCTCTGAAAAGCAGCTGATCGATATTTTAAATACATTCCAGAATGGATAGAATTCCCCATTCCAGATTTCCTTCCTCCCAACACTTAAACTCAACAGAAAAATCAACGAGGAGTTGGGTTTTCTTCTTCTCTGCATTACTACAGTCTGTCAATGTAGTGACTTAATGTTACATTCATGCCCTCATATTCAATTAAACAATCAATACATCCAATTTGAATTCAGATGTATTATGCCTTGTAAATCATTGGGTCATAAACCTTAACAATATCAACATGTCATCAGTGCAAAATTGAACTAAATTAGTGTCTTAGGGCTACAGTAATTAAAACATGAGGTATGCAAGCATCCCATGATAATATCATGAGAGATTAAGGTATCCTGTATGGGTCCAACATATTTCAGTAGCCAGATTTCATTTCATGGCTTAAGCATGTGAGTTTCAGACCACAGCATTCCAAGGGACAACCCTATACATGGTTAGACCAAAGTACGTCCTAGAAATCCCATGGTTGCTGACTTGGGAATACTGGGAGTTGGAGGGCTTCCTTTTGGTCTAAACATGCATAGATTGCATTGCAAATGTTTTAAGACATTTAAATTGAAAAGGGGAGAGAAAGAGTGCTTGCCCTTAACAAAATTTTGATGTTTCATTACTGGCTGCAGAATGCAGTGTTTGGAATCTTCTGTATCCATGAGCAGCAGAACTTAAAAGCCAAACAAAACACATACAGCCCTCTCTGCCATCTCAGTGATTGGGTATGCTCAAAAATGACACCGAAAAGCCAAAACAGAAGCAGACAGAAAAATGGAATCTTCTTTCATGGGGGAAGGAAATGTTCACAAAACGAGAGGGTAGATTCTGCCACAGCCTTGGCTGTACCTCTGCAGTGGGGAAAAGATGCGTCCACAATCACGCCTCAGAAATGTTATAGTTGGAAGACCCCAAGAAAGGCTCTGAACCCTGAAATATGACACATGCTGAGCAGAAATTTTCCAGAAAGCACTTTTCTCAGAAAATTTTGGAAATTTTCCTTTTCTTAATCCTCCAGAAAGCCAGTTTGCAGAATGTTTGCCAAACTTTCTCCAACGTTTTCTTGCTGGGGCTGCCTTCAGCTCACACCCTAGAATATTGCTAGGTTTTGTGAAGGATGGAGAATGGGAGTTGTTCTGTCAGCACAGTGGCTGCCGCTGTCACTGGGAGCACAAAAAAGGTGTACTAGCAGCACCAAAGAGGGAGAAACAAAGACTGAGCAGCAACTTCTGCCAAGGGTGAGTTGGACCTGCGAGAAACTGTACGGAGTTTCTGAATTTCCTCCCCCTGGAGAAATTCAGTAAAATGGCTCACTTTCTCTGCCCCCCCCCCCCCC